TCCTGAGAACTCACCAGTGTTGTGGACAAGACCTGCCTTTAGAGTGACCTTCTCAACCCAGCATGAACCAGCTCACAGAACATGTGCTGGCTACATCGGGACACCCCCAAATCAGCTTTTGCAACTGCTTCTTCAGTGTTTGATTTCAACAGCATGAGTCAACAGCGTCTAACATCATCACAGACTTCAGTTGCACTGGCAGTAGGAAAATGTATGGTCCAGCTCAGCAATGGTATTAAGGAGAGTAACTGCTACTGCTAGCAAAGGAGATGGGGACCTCGGAAAGAATTAAGCGACCTGAAAGAATTTTCAGATCTGCATTTTTTTGCTGATATATTTCAGGCGACTAGTTTCATACATTAATCTACAAGCCTTTATTTGAGTTTCATAGATTTTTGTCGATTTGCTTTGTGCTTTCATTGGTATTTAATTGCCCAGGGAACTGTTTCTGAAGCTGCGCTTATTTGTATTTAGTATTGATATAATGCCATCCCAGTAAGTGTAAATGGCAGTGTAGAGATGAGTTAAAACAGCAAGTCTCAGCTCTAAAAGCTTAAAAATAGCAAGCTATTTACTGCACAGACTTGATAGGGGCAGATTTTGGCCTTAGAGTAGATAAAACATAGTTCAGAACAAATAAACGCACAGGAAGGACTGAAGCAGTTCCCAGCCACCTTTCAAAAGTAGTACCTGTTTAGTAGAAGACTTCTTGTTCTAGGTTAGTAAGCAACATAACATAAAGCTTGGCCTTTGCCTGTTATTTATTTTTAGTGGATGATGGGAAAAGTGAGACTAGCAGACATCATGCAACCTGACAACACATATAAGCCCCTGAGAAAACCAAAGCTGGCAAACAAACAGCCCATGTATAGCAGAAACACAAATTCTTCAGGAAAATGCAGGTTTTACAAGGACAGGGTTTTTAACACCCTGAACTCACAGACATACTTTAATTTATTGTGGGTTAGAGAATTTTGCAGAAAGCCTCTGGCATAGCCCATTAATGGCTTTGGAAGAAGCAGACTTGTACTAGCGACATCATAAAGCCAGACAGCAGAAGCTCAGACGATTTATCATCTCACAGCAACAACCAAAATCAGGTTTCATGAATATAAATTGCTGTGTTTTTTTTTAATTTACTATTATTTCTAATAACATCTATTAGAAATAATGTTTCCTATTACAGGATCATGAAATTCACAGACTGTCACATGGATGAAGTTACAAATCTTTTCTAAACCAGTCATGCAAGATCTGCACAAGTTCAGTGATGGTTAATGGTTCGGGAGGATACCCAAAGGAGCATGCCAGAATTCTCCTGCACAAAACAGTAGAAAGTGGGATTGCAGAGCTGAAAGCTGAAGGAAAACAGAAGCTGAGTCATCCTCTATGTGCGAAGCCTGCAGCTACAAAAAAATCCATGTTTCCTTTGTTCTTTCAGGTCCCAATTCCCATGTCAAGTCATGTTGTGATCCTGGCAGGATCTGAGAGTTGAAGTCAGTAAGTGACCCTTTTGTTTGACTTCGTATTTTCAGCCTCTTCAGAAAGGGTGTAATTTAGAGCAAGGAGTTTTGGATATGGTTCAGATTATTTTTTGCTAAAACTTTCAATAATGGTGGAACAGCCTTACTAGAAATAACATCACAAGTTTTTTATAATTATTATTAAATGCAAAAGGATGAGAATTTTAGCTATAAAAACGCTTGATGTTTGAACTGAGCTTCTCTCCCAAGCTGTTGCATACAACTAAAACCAAGGGATGGCCTTTACAAGGGGAGAAGCAATTAAGGACATTAAAATGTCATTTTAGTTGTCAGACATTTCTGTCTGGCCCCCTGTGCAATAGACCATTTGCACTTCCCATATTATAATAAAAATCATGTATATTGAGGTATTTAATAGGCAATCATATAGGAGAACATATTTACTCCAGTAGCAGACTGACAGCATTTTCAGCAAGTTTCGCAGACACAGAAATGGAGAGGAATAAAGGAGAGAGTTTTGCTGTCATGTAAAAGGTCATCCATGCTCTGTTCAGTATCTCACTGGTAGTTTATTCAGCATCACACTTTGTCCCTGATACTATCATATCCCAAACCAGGAGCTGCTGAAGACACAGCTGATAAAATGTCAGCTAGGGACTCCTGCATGGCATGGCCAGGCAGAAACTAGAGTGAGAAGACACACCATCTTCTAGAATGTAGACAGGGGACAAACTGAGAACTCAGGAAGTTTAGAGATTAAAAATATGCCAAGATTTCATTGTCCTTCTATCACATCAGAGCAAACGGTTCGGAATTTGGCCACCAAACTTTGCCTCCTGAGTCACTTTGTCTGTGTCAACCTGTTTTCCATTGTTTGCCTACTATCCAACTCCCCATTCACAGAGACAAGTCCTGCAAGACAGACTTTTGCTTTCCCTGACCCTAACCAGCAGAAATGCTCTGGCTATGACTAAGCCTTGTGTTTCACATAAAGGAAATGCATCTCCCATATCCTGACAGCTGCCTGTGCATTTGTACAGGACTTTTCCATTACAGGCAAGCATTTCTTGTGAGAAGAACTCAGTTGAGGAACAAGTAACACTGCATGCGTGATGTTGGTTTTGGCATTTGGTAACCAAGGAGAATTGTTGGCACATTATGTGTGTATTGCCTGCTTTCAGAGCCAGCCGAGATGCTTTTGTGTGCCTGATGCTTCACACAAGCAAAGCGCAGGACGGTGTAACCAGGCAGTGCTTTAATTCCCAGAACTCAAGTCACATCTCTGAGCACTTCTGAACCTTTTCTGGAATTCAAATGCAAATCTAAATTGTAGCTTTCACTCCTAACTTCTCACCAGGCCACAGGAAAACCCCAGATCTGAACAACATAAAACCTTAATACACCCAGGTATGCCTCACTCTGCACTACAGAATTAGCACAACACGACTCACTGTATTTCTGAGTGAGACTTCAGAAGATTTGCTCACGTGTGGCACTGGAGGCTGAACTTCACGCCAGGCCTGCCCAAAACCAGGAGTAACAGGAGAGCTAAAGGACTCCAATGCTTGCACAGACCTGCATCTGCCTGGGGTTTGAGGAGGACAAGATGTGAGGATGGCCACAAGCTGCCATCTGTGCCATGGTGAAGCCGAGCACAGGGCTGCATGGCACAAAAGCTTTCAGGAGCCACCGCAGCTCCTGAGTCAGATGAAATCTTCCCTGCGGACTGGGCTCACTGCTCTGCCTCCACTAAGCTAAAGCCAGAGCACAGCCCTGCACCTTAAGAGATTCATTGGTGAACTAAGCAAAACTCAATTTCTGTTGGATCTTATTGCATTAAAACAATCCCAAATGACCTGAAATTTTTCAAACATCGTTTTTTCATCCTTAATTTTCAGATGGGTAACAAAATTAGAAAGATGATATGATATTTCGAGTGAAGGGAACCAGCAGACTACATACTAAGAACTTTCCTCCTCTGCACTAGTGGAATTTGGCTCACTCCTGCAAATCATGCAGAGTCAATTAGATATGCAAATATGCATACTTGAAATATGTGTTTGTATTGCCATGCTTCTATTTATAGCCATGGCAATCATGTATTCTGGTGACCAGCTAGATTTTGAGTTGGCTTATTGTGCAAAAATCTCAGAATCTATCACAGAAAATGAAGCGTGCATTTCTGTGTATGCAGACATGGGCATGCAATTCCAAAGTCTGTGCCTGTATGACCTGCAGGTGTCTGTACGTTCAACTCAGTTGTAAGACTCATATATCTCTGCCATCTATATCCATGCTTACTTTACCTATAAGCCTCCAGTTTAAATTGCAGAAGTATTCAGGATTTTGTGAAGGCGCAGGGAAAGCATCATTAGTGCAATCCTGTGTATCTCATTTCCAGCATGCAAAATCTTCTATCTGCAATGGCAAACACAGTAGCCCACAGGCTGTGGCTACAAAAATTCAGTGTGTTTTGCAATTCTCATTAATTATTTTGCAGTCTTTTCTTTGAATATTTACTGTGAAGTCTAGGGACATTTGTATTTCTTATATCCATATGTCCAGACACCACAAAAGATTTTTAAAAAATGGCCAGTTTGGTTACATTTTACTTCAGTCTAGAAATGCAGAGAGCTCATGTTTAGATTTTATCAAGAAAAGAGATAGCAAATGTCAAACAAAGATAGTACCTGAAAGGAAATAAAACAAATAATTCAAAAGACTTGTTTAAAAAGTTACAAAATATGACAGCATTAATGGCACTTGAAGCTATAAGCACTTAAAAGATTACCACCATATTTTTCTCAACTTCTTTTCCTAAATTTCTTTTTTCTTTTTTTTTTTTTCTGAGATTATGACTGCAGCTTATGTCTAAACCCAAACCCAGCAAAAGAGGCAGAGAGCCCTGAGATTCTATGGTTGCCCTTGCCCTCATTTGAGTAGCGTATATGCTCTTATGTCTATTTTTAAAAATTCAGATTCAGCTAAAGAGAAGAGCAGTTTGCTGACATGCAAAAGCTATAGCTTTCCTTCTGTCTTCATAGTCTTACAGCACTAAAATTGAAGGATTTTTTTCAGTGGTAGAAAGTGTGAATGAGAAATTCTTTTAAAAAAACAGTTGGCCCACTGTTTTATACACCTAGCCAAATATCATTAAATTAATGTTTCTCTTCTTTTAAAACAACATAGCATGACATGTTGCATTTTCTTCATACGCACTTTCTTGCTGTGACTTTACATCGAATATTTCCCACGTGAGAAAAAAAATCCATTTGTTTCTTTTCCTTTTTTTTGTTTGTCACTTGTTAATATAAATACCCACAGTTTTTTCTTTTTTTTTTTTTTTTTTTTAATGAAAAGAACAATCCGACCCTTAAATATGTCTGTGTTGATTTTTCAAACCGGCACCCAGCTGGTGGCTGTGTCCATGGACATTCTTTTAGAGTTTAGAAAGATAATGCATCTGATTCAAAAATGAAAAAAAAAAAAATCTAGCTTGAATCACGTGCCAAAACGTAAACTAAACCTTACTGAAAGTTTCTAGTTCGCTCCAATCATTTCTCCTCTTTTTAATCACCAGGGGAAGGCTTTAAGGATGCATACTCCATTACAAAGACACACTCTTTTTCATCCCTCTGAAAGGCTCTTCTTACATAGCTGCCCTTTGTCTAACATTATGCCATGGTAGGAGCACTCTGGCGATTTTGCCGTGGTTCAATCTCTTCCTTTGTATCTTGCCCTGGTAATCTTATACAGGCTGAAATTTCCATGTGCGTAGCTTTCTGTTGCCATTCTGCAGTGCTTTGTTCCTGAATTGTTTTGGCAGAGCAAGCTTGAGTCTTTATGGCACAGTGAAATATTCTTCGATGCTATATAATTCAGACTGAATAAGGAGTCTGTATAAGGCACGTGTCTCGATATATATATGTATATAAAAACACTAACATTGTTAATCTAAGTCAAGCATCTTTTACATTTAATTTCTGTCTTCAAGTAATGCTTTGTTTTCATGTTCCCTTTCTTTGGTTTCATTGGGGATATTTCCATTCTCCAGGTCCGAGTGCTGCTGGATGCAGTTGGTCAGGACTGCAGTGCTAGAAGAGTTCTCAGAATTAAACATCTTCTCCGTCTCCTCTTCCTTTTTTTCTTCATCCAAGGAGTAGTTTCGGAAGGTCTCGTAAATTTTACGCACATCCTCAGGGATGGTCTTTTTGAGGTCTTTGTTTTTCCTTTTGGTCATCTTAGCAGACGATCCAAACTTGTTAATGATGTTGTCCTCGGATGCCCCCTGCCCGTGCTTGTTGAGCTGATCTGACCCTTTAAGGCGCAGGTTGTTAGGCCTGTTGTTGATGCTTTCCTGAGATGAGGCCTTGAAGCGTCCTGTTTCCAAGGCAGTAAAGACAGAGCGCTTCTCTGGAGAGAGCATGTCTAAGGAGTGGGCTCGCTGGTCCAGGCCCAGGCGCCGGCGCTCCATGCTCCGGATGGTGGCTGCCCGCTGAAGTTTGTCGTGGATCTCCACGCTGAGCCGCCTCCGTGTCTCTCTGAACTCAGCCGTCACGTTCGCCTTCCACTCCGCTGCGTGGGCTTTTATTTCTCCAACCTTTACAACAACAAGAGAAAAGAAAAATAAAAAAAGAAAAAGAAAAGGCAAAATGACACAACAGTCTGTCTTATAGAACAGCAGCAGCACAAGCACTTTCTTCTCTGGCATAATGAAGAGAGCCAACTAATGTCTTCAAAAGCCATGCATCTCCAATTTTTAAAGAGATAATACTGAAATTTTTATCACAATTTTGTAGCTACTTTCAGAGTGAAGGCTGGCCTCTCTTATTCCATAATTGCAATCCTACTAATGTGTTCTGTGAATTTGGTAGTACTGATAGAGGTGTAACAACCTAGGTTGCTTTTTTTCCTCCCTTTGTGAAGGAGCTAAAGATCAGAGCTAACTGGATACCAAAGTCAGCCAGTGGAGTGAACCATGGGGAATACGGAGCATTGGTCATGCAGAGGAGCATTCTTCTTTAGACAAGCAGGAATCAGGCACTTAAAGCTCTCTTATAAAATTACAAACCACTGAGAAATTACCAGTCATACCTCTTCTTTTGTCTTCTTGGACAGGACTCTTAACCAGTCTCCAATCATACTCAGGACAGCAGCAAAATAGGCAAGACCAACAAGGATCCAGAACCACACTAAGGGTTTATACCACTCCCGGTAATGGATGTCAGCATTTCCTCCTGAAATAAGCATATACTTACATGTAGAAATCATGAGATGCCAAAATCATGACAAAATATCTGCAATTCTGAGAAATTCCTGAAAGTTTGTTGACTCTTGCCAACACCACTGTAGTTCTAATAATAGACAAGACACCTGTCAGATGGGAGGAACACAGTCTGTTCTTAAGACTCTTCAAAATTACCTGTTGTTCTGCTGCCATATGACCTGCCAGAGCACATAGTAAACACTTTTCTTTGTATTGCTCATACTCTAAAGCAAGCCCAAAATTCCTGCTTTGACAGTACTTGCAACAGCATGAGTACATTTCCAAGAAAAAAGTTTAATACAGCTTGTCTTCCTTACTCTAGTTCAACCTCTCCAGTTTATAGAGTTTCCAGATTTTTTTGGTTTTAGGTACAGGATTAAGAGACGTATGTGCAGGAGAAAGAAAAGTAGCTTTGACTTCCCCTTCAAATCAGGATATCTGACAGGAAGCCAATCGTGCATCAGCCCTGATAATAAGGACACACCATCTGCTTGGGTATCGGTTATAGGGGCACGTTCTCTGGCCAGTGCCTTCAGAGGAGATATGGATCAAATCAAGCAATAAATATCCTATATGGTACTCAGGCAAGTCTCAGGATAAGCTGGTAAAGCAAGTATGTGAGACCTACTGGAAAATTTGATGGACTATGAAGAGCTTAAAATAAGCACAGTAGCAGACAGGCTGCTGCCTACCAAAGAACAGAATAAACTTCCAAAAGAAAGCAAACACAACCTTACTTTTGAGGCTCACTTTTGAGGCTCACAGTCCTATCACAGAACAGAATAGACTCTTCCAACAGAAAGCAAACACGACCTCACTTTTGAGACTCCCAGTCCTATCACAGTGTTATGTGCACTGCAAGAAAGAGAGCCAGCAAGAGGCAGGCACAGCCCTGAGCTGAAGAGAGTGAGCGGCAAAGAGTCCGCCCAGCCCCATGGGCACAGCCATATCCCTCAGTGCAGGTGGACAAATATGACCTCGGTGGTACCTGTGTAAACCTCTGCCTGAAAAGCAAACCTACCAGGGCCTTGGGCAGATGATTGCATATTTCCTGGACTCAAGCCTCGGTTAGCTAGACACAAACCTATAACTATGACTATAAAGAGATTTTAGGATTTTTCCCCATTAAAATCACCAGACAACACAGTTCTGCATTCCCCTTGAGCTTTTTGTAATCTGAGGCATTACTACGACTCTTTAATTTTATCCAGGCTCAGTATGAGTGTACGTAGGGTGTTCAAACATCCCCATGGAAGGTCAGACATTCGAGAATTGGCAAGGACCCAAATATTGGGTTTGATGTTATTCTCTCCCCATAGACCGTGTGAATCACTCTCTTTTTTTCAGTTTTTAAGAGTGTGAAACACTGGGAGGTGGGGGCTGCTGTTGCTATGGTACAACAAGGCTCTTCTGATCATACATGTCCCTGAGGAAGCTTGCTATGAAACAGATTGTCTAGGTCTGTCTTACAGAGTAATCAGGTGACTGAGAAAGCATGAGACCACTTTTTTCAGCCTATCAGAAACTCGGCTTTTTTCAGGCTCCATCCGCAATTGTATCTCCAACAGTAGTACAAAAACTTTCCCAGTTTGCCAAGAGGTGGGACATGTTCTAGGTGGAATAAATCAGCATAACTCCATTTATGCTATTTTACCCAATACGATGTAGTAGTTTTTATTTGGTGTTGAAGAGGCAGAGATACTGAGAGACTAAAGTGGCAGAAAATAAAAGTGACATAAAATCTGTCTCAAAACCATGAATAAAACCTGAATCTCCTGGTGAGCACCTGCGTTAAATTCTTATCATGAGATGGCCTCTGAAGTTTTCTCATTCAGGGTCTTCCATTTGATTTTTGAAAAATCCTTGGTTTTAGTAGCTACCCAGCTGTGCATTATATTATCCTAATCATGTTGGATATAGAAAAATTTAATTTAGAATTCAGAGCTTTTTTACTATTATATTATTAACAAAAAGAAAACTGAAGTGTGATATGCTTAAGAAAAATACTGTAAATTATTTTTATATCACACTGTGATATCACAAAGGCAGAATATCAGTGAGCTTCTCTTCATGTTTAACTGGCTAAAATAGACCAAGCTCATACAATCCCTTCTGTATCTGAATGCTCGTAAAGCACTTCTCTTTCATATCTGGGGCTTTCTTTGTTCAGTGCCTTTTTTCCCTCAATAATTCATGTCTTCTATGCCACTATGTCATAAAAAAGGAGGATTACGGTCTTTGCTACAAAAAGACTTGTCTGCAGCTCTTCAGCAGAGAAAACTTTATATATCCCTGCAGTTTCATTTGATGTTTTTAACTCATTCATACTTCACCGACTTATAGAAAGTAACAAAACAGTAGCATAATATGGCTGTTTGTAACACAGGCATCTTAATACCTTTAATTAGGACCACTAACAGGAATGAAAAGTAGAGGTCATGCACTACTGGGAAAAAAAAATGCACTTATTTTAACCACCTTTTTGTTAGCAAAGCAGTTGTGGGAAAAAAAAAAAAATCTCTCATCTCTCCAGCCAACAATCTTGACTCTTGCTTTAGAAATTGATAAGGATGGATATTTATAGTTCCTGCTAGTACCGTATTAATCTTGGAGAGAATCCTCCTAGCACTGAGATGCATACCCCATTAGTCCTTCTCTTCCTACAAGAATTTTCCTTAACAAGTCAACTCCAATGTCAAACTTTCTGCCAAATTTAGAGAACAAAATGCAGTTTCTGAAATGCTGCAGCCTCTGTAGCAGCATCCAACTACTGCATCAGACCAGAGATTTCTCCAGCCTTATGGCTCAGCCCTACGGCTCAGCCCTACTTTGGGCCTATGGCTCAGCCCTACTTTGTAAAAGCTTCATCCATTCATCCTTTTGGCTACTCGCTTCTGCAGTCAGCCTCAGATTGAGCCCTAATGGACTAATACAAATCTTGAATTCAATGAGAAAGTCATTTGACTTGTCCATAATTCATTGCACGATAAAGAATAATCAGGACTTCCCAGGCTCCCATTATCTACACTGCTGAAAGCTTGCAGATGGCAAGGCACATAGATCTTAAACCAACCTGATGGCCTATTGCACTGTAACGCCAACAGAAACACCTGGCATCATTTCACTGGAATATAATCCACTGTGAAAAGCCTCCTCTCTACACCAGAAAACAAATTCTAAGAGCCAAGGTCCCCATGCACAGCACCTAGGCTCCAAGCTGCTCACCTGCTACAAAGTCACCGAAGCCAACAGTAGTCAGAGTGACAACCACAAAGTAGATGGACTCCAAGGCTGTCCATCCCTCGATGTGTTTGAAGATAACTGCAGGAATGGTCACAAAGACAACGCAGCCTGCCAGGATGAAGAGGATGGTAGAGATCACCCGGATCTTTGTTTGACTCACTTGCTTTTTCTAGAAAAAGGAAATAACAACAGAAAAAAATATATTTTTGAGTGGATTTCCGAGACTGTATACCTTGTGAATGGCAGACTGATCATGCTGTTGTCACCTGGTATGTCTCTTTCTGCCTTTTGTGAGCTTACTAGGTGGAATACAACCCTCCCTCTCCATTAGTGAAAGCCCTGCCAGATAATAGTGAACCTCTATGTCTGGCCCCAGAAAACTGTGATTCCCATTTTCCATGCACTAGGCAGTTATTAACCTACCAGAAACACAGCCTGGAAAAACAGTCATGAGCTTCAGAAAGGCTCCAGTACACTCCCGCTCAGGTTCAATGTGTAGGAAAAAGTGCACATTCACACCTCCATACATCCGTATGTACCCTCACATTGCCTCACCAGCTCCAAGCATTCAACGAGCAAGACAAAGACTAAAATGAAAATAAATCCTTTTTTTTCCTCTAAACCTCTAATATTTTATGTAGAAATAATTCATGCTTTGGGTTTTCTAGACTTTCCTTTGACTGAGGATTTCCAGCTTTCATTCACAAACATGAAGGTTAAATCTCCTTTTCAAAATAGACAGCTATATTATCGGTTTATTCCAGAAATAAAGGATTTATGTCAAATACCAAACAACCTGAGATAAAATTACACACGTAAATCCACACTGGAAAGCTCTTGAACAAAGAGTATGTGTGTTACTGGCTACTATAAACTGAGTACAAATATTAAGTAGTGTAATTGCAACATTTTACACTCCTAAATCATATAAACGCTCTATTTATTTGATATAAACTTAGATTTTGTTTCCAGTAATATCAATGTAAGCCTGGATTAACACAACTGACTCTGGCAGATTTATTTCAGATTTTCGCTGCTATAAATAAACTCAAAATTCAATGGAGTTTCACGAGAAACCTGGAAATTACTAGAAATCTTACTATGGATTAATTAGAGTGGCAGTGTAAATTCTGTGTTTATCTTGGAAAAGGAATGTGGAGGTCACTGTAAGTCACATATTTCCAAATTAGTTTTCCAAATCAAGCATCTCCCTTAACCCAGAAATGAGATCTCATTTCAGATTAGGACATTGCCTAGACAGGAAATAAGGTCTCAGGAGTTATCTTTATAATATACAAAAGGGATATTGCCTGAACTAGTTAATATCTAACCAGCCTGTGAGCAGTACTACTGCTTCCACTAAAGCATGAACATTTCTTCTAGAGGTGCGATGTCAGACCCTCATGAGGCAGTCAACTGACCTGGGATGCTCTGTGTTTAGAACCCAGGTAGCAGCATAAATATGCCGTATTTCATAAATACTTTTAGTTCTGAAACAGTTTAAGATGATCCCTACAGTTAATTTTTTGCTTTTTGTGTGTGCACATTATTTTCTGTGTCTGGTTGAACAGAAATAGTAAATATGATTAGTAATATAATGCCATAAATAAGATTAATCAAATAAAAGCATGGAGAAAACTGCCACTGAAGTACCAAGCGAAAAAACAACACAAGAATATAAAAACTGACTTGACTTCTTATTTCCTCTTTTCCTGGAGAGACATTTTGAGTAATTTGCCAAAATGCTAAAGGATGATCTAGCTTCTTTAAAAAATATGGACACATATTCACAATGCCAGGATTTCAGACTTACTTATATGTAGTGAAGGGAAAGCAACTGATCACATGGATGTTACGTGGTATCTTAGATTGGCACACTTTCTTTTTGTCGTGGAAGACCAGGATTTAACCAAGTTCTTGTTTATTTGCTGGTTTGGCCAAGGTGATTTACTCACTTCTACTAAATGCTTCAGTTTCCCGAGACATAAAAATTCAATGGCAGACCCCTTGCTACAGTGGAAGTTACAAGGTGCGTCCAGTGCTGCATAGTACTGGGAATCCTTTGACAAAAAGTACTTTGGAGCTGTCAAACATTACGAGTAAAGCAAAGCTATGCATAATAATCCTTCCTCCAGTCCCCATATAGCAACATTAAAATGCACTTCAATATGCGTCAGAATTCATAGAATCATAGAATGGTTAGGGTTGGAAGGGACCTCAAAGATCATCTAGTTCCAACTCCTCTGCCATGGGCAGGGAAACCCTCCACTACACCAGGTTGCCCAAAGCCTCATCCAACCTGGTCTTAAACACTTGTCTTGCCTCATGGTAGAAACAGGAGTGGAAAGAACAGGCTACAAATCAGTGCCAAATGTTTAGGACCTCCGCTTGCTAATGCATGATAAATTCAGCCTAAGGTTGTTGGGCTTTTTTAAGTAAATATGGTAACGATGTTAACGAGAGGCTTTGCAGAAAGGCCTGACTGACTCATTGTTGTTGTGCACCTCAGTCCCTTGCACAAAAGCAGAACAGCTGAGGCTCTATTTTTTCCTTATTCTTCCACTGGTACAAATGAAGTCAGAAAGCAATGGTGAATCAGGCACAGCATTTTTAGAGCTGCTGAAAAGAGCACAAAAGCAAGACTCAGAAGCAGAATTACTTAATGGATACAAGTAAAAAAGGGGGTCTTTTTACAGTTAGACATGCATTCAGAGGACACTCACAGTAGAGAATAACTGCTTTAGTTCCCAAAAATGCTCTCACAGTAGAGTATAACTGCTATAGATCCAAAAAATGCTGAGGCGTAAATATCATTATTCATGGAGTATGCACCTTGTAGTAATCACACATTACAAAAAGGTTGGTTTGCATGTTTTGCTTGCGGATGGAGCTGGCCTTGCTATTATCCTACAAAGAACATTTTGCGCTGTCCAGGTTCTCAGGATTAAGGAAACGCAGCTTTTACATTCCAATTTTGCCATGGTCGTACCAAGACGAGACTAAGCCACTGCAGTAGTATACTGTACCATGTCATTATTAAAAGAAATATATATATATAACAAATATACATAGTATATCTATATAAAATATAGATATAAAAATCCACTAAAGGCTGAGAGATCTGAAAAGGTTCATACAAATTTTTCTTCTAAATGGTATTTGCAATCTGGAGCTGAACACTGGCAAATAGCTGAGCAACTCCAGCCAGGCTAACGCATCCTCTGAGCCTATTTTGTGGCGTAAATACAGAATTTTCTATAGGTGTCAAAATGAAATAGTAAGAGAGGCCTTTCTCCAGGGAAAGTAGTTCATCTCACAGCAGTTTAAGTAAAATGAAAACACTTTTGAAAGAGATGTTTTCTACTTTTTTTTTTTTAATGTTTGTTTTACCTACAGGTTCTCTCCACATTGATGAAGCGGATAATTTGTGAGATATTCATCAAATATAAATAAATTAGTGCCTGCTAATAAGAGAGTCTTCAATTTAAGTGCATCTAGTGCTAATCTAGAAAAGATTAGAGGAGGAATATAAGAAGGACAGAATGGAAATTTTGCTATCAATTAACAACCTCTGAGGGGTCATTTCTAAAACTTTTAAAATCTCTAAAAAACTAAAAGAAGGTAGATTCAGACCAGATATAAGGAAGGAGTTTTTTATGATGAGGATGGTGAAACACTGGAACAGGTTGCCCTATCCCTGGAAATGTGCAAGGTCAGGTTGAATGGGGCTCTGAATAACCTGATCTAGTTGAAGATGTCCCTACTCATTGCAGGGGAGGTAGGACTAGATGATCTTTAGAGGTCTCTTCCAATCCAAACTATTCTATTATTCTATGATTTCCATTTACTAATAAAGGAGCTGATTTTACTCTGAAGGTGGTTAAGTGCTAAACAGGCAACATCATAGCATATGACATCATCTTGCTCATATGAATTCAAACAACATAATGTCAGTCCGCTCCAGTGTCAAGAGGGGTGAAGACAGATATGCTCATTGAGACATCCTTATAGTGGAATTTAGTTCCTATGCATCTTTTCTATCAATAATTGTGACTTTGCTTTTCCTTCATTCCTATTACATACACCAGGGTCTTATTAGTTTTGGTCTTATCTAATAATTTCAGGAGTTAAAAGAAATCACTTTTTTTTTTTTTTTTTTTTTAATTTTCCCCTGTATTTCATAAAACTAACTTATAGATCAAAGTTGATGAACTGGATTCTTTTATGGCTCCCACCCCTTTCAGGTGAATTAACTTAGGCACAATTTTTCTGACCTGACTGTTAACAGCAAAAGGACCAAACAAGGTCCTTACACTGAGGCCACCGGGATGATACATATTCCTTCAAAAAGGGAGTAGGAGACATTAAGTATAGGATCAAAAAGATGCTACAGCCATTTATCAGAGTAGACTAAATGATAAATATATGGGACGTATTTCCATGAACATCATAAAATATGCTTTTTCCAGGATTTTGTAGTGTCACCTCCCGTTTCACAGAAACTCCCTCAATATACAGTACTACTCAACCAAAAATAGCACTGGAACATTTGCTGCTTCACAGCAAGCTCAGATGGTTCCTCTGTCTTCCAAACATTTTCTTTTCTGAGTTCCTGACAAATATCCCCAAGACTCCAAGCAAGTTGCTTACCTTTTTGGCTAGATGACCAATGGCATATTTTTAGTGCTAGTATACTGTGCCTTCATGGAACATGCCATCCTTATGTCTCCACAAGGTTCTGCATTTTGGAGCCCTCCTCCAAAGAAAACCCATTTCTTGAACATTTCTTTTGTCCCCTTCACTTACTCTTTACTTTATGCCCTCTCACATTCTGCCATCTATTCTTAGAACGGATTGTCTCTGCCCATTCATTAATTAAACAGCTTGTCTTCTAAATCACTTTCTCCAGATCAAAATATTTTACCAAGAGGAAAGCCAGTCTTTGTACTCAAAGCATAAAACAGAATATCAGGTATATCGGTTCTACTTTTTTCTCTGCCACACACATTAGGTAGGTCCTTAGACAAAACATTTTTGCTAGGCTAGTGTAGACAATGCAGAGAGACATAGGTTCACACTGCTTGCCGTTCAGATCAGTCAAACGCAAGCCAGCCCAGGTCCAGAGCCTGGCACACATCTCAGTAAGGTGTGAGGCCCATCTCAACAGGC